TTTGGTCTGTTTTCAGCAAGAATCCTGCTAGGTCAGTTTAGTTTAGTTTAATGTCTCTGCTGAGTAACTTTCCATTCCACTGACCCCTCATACTCTGCTCTTTGGCTGTGGATGCAGTATTGGGAGTTAAACTGGATTGTTGTCCTATATTGCAACAGACCTGAGTAAAGTCTTCCCCAGCATTGTAAAAAGTGTCAGAGAAAAAAAAAATATATATATATATATATTTTTTTTTCTCTCTCTCTCTAACAGCAGCAAGGTCTTGAGCCTTCTGGTACAAAGTTAATCACAAGCTGGTTGGAAAAAATAAGTTTGCTTCCCTAATGTGACTTAAAGGCTCCAAATACTGAGATTCAAAATTGCCCAGCAGCATTAAGACATTAAAATCAAAACTCCTGGTGCTGGTGGTCCCTTTGAACCTTAATAGCCTATTTCACTTTAATTTCAAAGAAAGGTACAAAAGGGGGAAAGATTATGCTATACAATTTTCTTGAGGATAATGACTATGTCTTATTATATTATGAACCCAGCATGGGACCAATGCTGAACACATAGTAGGAGTGCAATGATTTCATCAATTGAGAGAAATATAATGGAAGCAGATGATTATTTCCTGAAAAACCATAGTATAAATTAAAGGGGACAGGCTAATCAATCCTCCCTTTAAATTAGGCAAATCATAGAACTATAAAGGCACCGGAGTTTACTTCTGCCAAACACTGAGAATTAAAAACAACTTTCTTGAACATTATGTGTTTTTAGAAAACAATTCCAGTATGCAGTTTTAAATTTTCAACTAGTACTGCTATAACCTTAAGTTATTGAAAAGCACTGTATAGTGGGGTCATATCAGAGATGATGATGTCTACCTAAACTGGGACTGAAACATACAGTAAACACCCCCCTGCATAGTTAAACTGTTTGCCTGAAGCATCACCAGTCCTGATGTAGCTTCCTAAGAAAAGAGACATCCCCAGGCGCTCCACCTAGGGTGGGATGATTTCTTTATATTTTACATCTGAAACATGAAGGAACACTTAACTGTTTGCTTTAAAATAGGAAATTTATACCTTTTGCAAGTTACCAGAAAGGTAGCTGACATATCTCAGGCTACTTTGGACTTCTAACTCATCTGCAAATAGCCTCACCCACTTCTTTTTGTCCTTACACAGTAAGAATAGAGAACCTCAAGTTTTTTTCAGTTGCAAAAGTCAAACAGGAAGTTTCCAAGCAGGAGTTCTGCAAAGACGGATCAGAAAGAGGGGCAGGTGTGCCAGGACGGTTAGAAGGGAAAGAGAAAGCTCAGGGGATTTCTGAGCTTTGGGGCAAGAAAGAAATAGTGGTTTTTCTGTCATCACTACCGCCCAGCCAACTCATGTCATTTATTGGTAATAAGCAATTAGTGCCAATGATTTAGGAGACAGCCTGCTGAGTCCAAAACAAATCCAAATACTGTAGGCTGTTTGCTAGATTTAAATAAGGTTATTTCATCCAAAATTTCATAATTTTGAACTCTGAGACATATACTTGTATGGTGTACCTTTAACTGATGCTCTCAAAGTAGCTTTTTGTTCATACTTACATCTGGGGTACTTTCATAAGAAATAGGAAAAAAATAATTTATGGTTATAGCTATATCTAAGTAAAATTAGCTATACTTATGTATTCTTTCTGTACAAGTAAAGAAATATATCACTGATTAAAAAAACCCTCAATATGATGTGTTAACATACAGAATACTGTTGCTCAAAACCACAGCACATTCTTTGGCATTCTCTACTCTGCAGTTTCAGGAACAACTTCCATATCTGCTGGCATTTCTAAGACCAACTGTTCATCAGTAGGATAAAAATAGGGCAAACAGGTAAAAAGAGAATAATGGGTTCCTAACCCATTACAAAAACGAACCAACCTCCACTTGGGTGGTATTTAAGAGAAAGGAAGTAGCTGCCGCATGGTCTCTGGGTCAGACTGTGGCTCCCCAAGGACTTTATCAAATGAGCAGATCAGACAGGCTCAGTCACTGATTTCAAAGCCAAACTTAAAACTTGCTAATGCATGTTTTTAGAATGATTTGATACAGGGCTTTACAATCTTGCAAATACCCCTTAACCAAGTGGCTAAACTTTTCAGCTGTAATAGGAAGCTTTTAAAGAGCCGGGAAATTCCGTCTAGGACAATACCAATGAGTACTGAAATCAACAAGCATCTCCAGTTTCCGTATCCTTCAGTCTAGCAGCGGATTGCTTACAGCTAATTCTCTAGTTCTATAGCCTATAGAGTCTCTCTGTCTCTCTTCTTGAAAGGGATTAACAGTGTCAAAAGATTAGACCATTTCACCTTAATTTTTCTACCATTTCAAAGGGTCAGTCATCAACATCAACTCAATCACCAAAAGGTGTACAGATGAATGCATCATAATTTAATCCACAGGCGAGAACAAGTTTGGTGTTGTGAGCTCTGGAGTCAGACTGCCTGGGTTCACACACAGGCTTGACTGAAGTCGTATGACCTTGGGCAAGTTGCTTCATCACTTAGTGCCTCTGTATTCTCAACGATAACGTGGAAATGATAGTGCCTACCTCAGAGGGCTGTTGTGAGAATCAGATGATATAAAACAGTATAAGCACCAAAGAGTAAGCATTAACTATGTTAGCTACTCCTAATAGTACATATTTAAGAAGAATGAGGTAATTTTGTGTTGACTTATGAATACTGTCAATGACATAGGGTTTTGTTAAAATACTACACTAACATGCTTAGTATGAGTCTCTTTTGAGAAGAAAAAAGAAATGCATGGTATGTAGTTATGGGGGCATCCGAAGAAGTCTGAAAGGCAAATATCACCCAAACATTGAACCCTCATTACTCCTATCAAGTGAGCGAGTGCTGGTGAAGAGAAGCTGACTTTTTTTTTTTTTTTAATATGTCTTTGCTTGAATTCTCTCACATGTATTACTTTGCCACTAACTCTAACACTGTAACATTTTACAATGGCCTTCCTAGCCTTCAAGTTGAGTATCTCTGTTTTATTCTAGGAAAAAAATAAACTTTCTAGGGATAAGAAAACTCCAGAGAGGATGGGGGAGCCCTCGAAGCACTCTCCTGCTTGTCTCATTGCGTCCAGTGCCTACCACAGCCATGAAAACATTCTGAAATTCTTTCCTTTCCTTCATGCTTATCTGAGGCTTTCCTTTTACTATGTCTAAACGGTTTCCACCTTCAGTGTTTGATTATCTTCTCTCATAACTTTCTCACCATTGCCTGCTTTTTTCTCCTCGCCCTCTGACAGGTGCCCTCGCTCAGGGAAACTCACTGGAGTGGGGACAGATCACTGGTGTTTGGCAGTCAGGTGTTTGGTAGGCATAAAGGCCCCCATCTACATAATTATAGGACAGGATATGCCTCCAAGTTGCTTTCTGTCTCGTAAAGGGTCCAAATGGGCTTTTAAACAACGTTTTTATTTCAGTCAAGAAACAGTATTTGGTATGTTTGGCAGGCACTTTTTCCCCCTTTAGGTCTTTCCTTACACAGGTGTTTATTTTTGCTTTGGCTTTCCCTTGGAAGTTACAATGTTATTTTGTACCTTTCCCACCCACAACGTTCTCTTCCGTGTTTGTCTTTTCTGATGTGTTAATTTATACTGTCTGATCTCCCATCAAGCGCATCTCTGCCTCTTCACTTTCACACTCCAATCGTCTGGCCCCATTTACACATGTTTTCTATTTCAGCCCATGGAGAAGTGCGTTTATAGGATGATGGGAGAAGGAAAGGAGAATTAGAGATACTAAGCAGAGCGGCTTCCAAGCCGTCTCTCCCACCGGAACCCGCAGCGCCGCGAACCAAGCCTGCCCCGGGGTATCCGGGCCAACAGAACAGGGTCAGCATCCAGGCGCCCAGGCGTTGGAAAAGCTGATTGGTTTCCGGAGGAACCAATCAACGAGCGAGGCCGTGCACGGGTAGGGGAGGGCCAAAATTATTGAGCGGATGGGGTTAAAGGAAAAGGCACAGGTGTGCCAGGCAGCAGGTTTTGCGTGCACTTTGCAACCCCCGGTTCATTAATAACCCCGAATTCTAGTCTAGATGTCCCCTTTCTAGTTTTCTAGTTTCATAAAGCTGAGAGAGTAGACAGAAGGGAAGACGTTACTCATCTTACCATTCATAAGATCGTTATTAATAATCAATGGAAAAGTGGCCATGGAGCGGGGAGGCTGGGAGGGGAGGGAGAGCAATACAATCCTCCTCCTCTCTTTTCCCGGTTCCACTCCAGGTCGTCAACCTAACTCAGTCGGTTTCTGAAACGCAAGCTTAAATCACCAAAGCGGATTAGCAAAATGCTATATTAGACAGTTGGAATAAGTTTCCCCCTCCCCAAGGGCTGAGGGAAACAGTACTGGCATTAACGGAACGTGCAGCATTTTACTACCTGCTAAAGGAGAAGCGAAGGAACTCGCGAACTGAAGTCAGAGAAACTGAGACCTTCGGAAATGTACAACCAGTACTCGGACGCGGCCACCTCCTGGGATCGGACACAAGTTCCCAGGCGCAGTGACATCTCCTCTAAGCCGCCACCCCACAAACTCATCACGCGGGGGCGCAACGATATTTTAGGAGCGTGGGGGTACAGACAGCAGATTTTCCTAATGTGTTTCAAACTTCATCGGAGCTTTTCTGTCGTTTTTTTTTTTTTCCCCCGCGACTGACACAGCCCCCAGATTCACAGACCGGTCTCACCTTAGCTTTCCCACGGTCCAGCGCTGCCACCCACCCCTTCACCACCCATACCGGGGCTGGAGACGCCGCGTCCTTGGGTTGGGGGAAGAGGGGAGTGGGGGAAAGAGGGAAACGGCCAGTTTAAGTAAAGAGCTCCCCGCCTAGGCCTGGACGCCGGCAGCTAGTGGAGAGCCCCGGGGCCGAGAGGCAGGGAGAGGAGAGGGCTGGAACCGTGCGGGGAAGGGCCGCGAGGACAGCAGGGGCGCCGCCGGTGTCGCTGCACTCACTCTGCGTAGCCAGTGGCCCAGGGCAGCCGCCGAGTCTCCTTGAGGATGAGGATAGGGCGGGCGATGTGGTCGGCGCTGCACTCCACCTCGTCCTGAGACAGCCCCAGGAACTCTGGCCGCCCGTAGGGGAAACGCAGGGGCAGGTCCGAGCCTCCGCAGCCGCCGCCGCCGTGCTCGGAGCCTGAGCTGCCAGCCATGATGCCGCCCATGAAATTGGCCACGGCAGATTTCACTCGAGTGAGCATATTACTCCGGCTCCCGGCTGCAGCGGTGCGAGCAGGAGGCGGCGGGGGCCGGGCGAGGCGCAGCGCGGGGCATGCAGGCTGCGGTGGGCGCCAGGCGCACCGGGAGTCGGGCCGCTGGGACGCGCCGTGCGCGGCTCCCGGAGCCTAGTGCTGCAGGGGGCCGAGCCCCGGCCTCTCGTGCTCCGTACCGCGGCCGCCGCCGCCTCCCCCCGCTACACTTCCGCAACGGACCGGCATGGAGCGGGCCGGCCGGGGGAGTCACCGCAGGCTCCGGGAGCGCCCAGGCGGCTGCAGCGGCAGCAGGTCCCTTCCCCACCCCCTTCGCTCGGCTCCGGCGTGCGCGGAACTGAGCCCACCCGGCAAGCCCGCAGAGCCGCCGCGGCTGCTGCCACGGCTACCGCCGCCGTTGAGTCATGTGATAATCAGGCTGCCAGGGCTCAGGCTGCTGCGGTGGCCGTTGCTCAGCCCCTCCCCTGCCGGCCCGAGCGAGACTCGCACCGGGATCGTGACCTCCAGGGGGAGGGGAAGCTCGGCCGGGTCGCTACCTGGCGTAGGGGATGGGGGCGCTGTGAGCTGGAGGCGGTACAGGTGTTAGGGGCTGTCACGTGGAGACGGGCAGCCGGGAAAAGCGTTGAAGAATCCACCCTCGGAGGAATGCTGCCTTCACCCTCCAGAAAGGAAACTTCGGGAGCTGGGGGGGGGGGGGGGGGTGGCGGGGAGGGGAAGACAGGTGCAGTCAGGATGGGGCGGTTCTAAGTCTCGTGGTGAAGCCAGCAGTCACTGGATGTAAGAGACTTTTCAGGGCTTAAAAATAAGCCGATACGGTTTGCACAAGAATTATTAAAAGTTTTCCCTAGGTATTTGTCGAATTACCACTAGATGTATTATTATCTATGGAGCAAACCTTATTTCGAACCCAGAACAAGAAAAAAGATCTTTGTAAGAAATCGGAGGCTTGTCTGAGTGCAGTGGTATTTACAACTAATTGATCACAAATTACAGATTTCTTTGTTCTTTCTCCACTCCCACTGCTTCAATTGACTAGCCTAAAAGGAGAAGAAACAGCTATTTTACTTCTTAATTATTAAATAAATTTATACAAGCATTTTCCTCCAACGTAGCAACAAAAGTATCTTTTCAAAGCTTCCCTTGTTTACTATCTAGACACTTAAATGCAGTCGTATTTGAATTTTCTTAATTCGGAACACTTGGAAAATTATCTAAGGGCACTTACAAAACTAAAGAAACTTAAGTAGAACATAGCAGCTCAATTAAATGCTAAAGTAAAAATGAATAAGTTTTTGCAATGAGAAAACATTTTTGGTGATCATATGTTAAAATAGAAAACATGTCTTAAAAACTGAATCCTTCATCAAGATGAACATTTCTCCAATATTGTCTTTGCGGGGGGAGGGGAACTTTGCAATAGAACGTGGATCCTGTTCATGTTTACCTACGATTGAATTTGCCAGAATTCGGTGTTACGTATGCAGTTATGCACGAAACAGCTTGCTCTGAGTTCAACAGGGAATACAGGCCCCTGGTTCTTCTCAGTGTTTGGGAAGGAGAGTGGCCCAAGTTTGGAAGAAGCAGCCAATTCTCTGACGAGGAATTGGGAGTCAAGGATTCCCCGGGGAAAATTGTTTGTATTTTTGGTAGGCTTCTAAGTTTTTTCTCAAATAGAATATTTAGCATTATTAAATGTGATAACATTAGCAAGATTTGTCAACCAGTGTTCTGCAAGAAGTTGTTCTACTATTTTCCCATAACTTAATTATTACCTGTAATGAGAAAGTCTTGGTATATCATTACCTTTGCTAGCAAACTGTTTGCCCTGCAAACAGTAGAAAAACAGAAATTCTGTATCTGTTCTTCTCTTTCAAATATTTCTATAGTAAAAGATGGAAATGAAATTTCTGATTAAAATTAGGGGGTGGTCATTCTCCTAAAAATATTTGGTTTTCACACCTATTGTACTCATAGGTTCTGAGAGTATCTGTGTTACTAAATTCAAATGGGGCATTGATTAGGTATTGGGAGACCCCTCAATGTGTTTGTTAGACATCAATAGATATCCTTCAGTTTCTCTTGTGTCCTTTTTCTCTTGGAAAACGTGGGTTTGAAGACTTTAATGAAATATTCATTTAGAAGATGGATATATAGACCTTACATTTAAATGCTCTGTATATCAATATAATCTCATTTCTAGGTCTATAATACTATAGTTTTGACTATTAAATAACACTATGCCATTAATAAGACTTAAAAAGGGGATGGGGGAGGTGGGGGTGGTAGCTTATACCTGTAATCCCAGCACCAAGGCTGAGGCAGGTGGATTATTTGAAGTTAGGAGTTCAAGACCAGCCCGACCAACATGGTGAAAGCCTGTCTTTACAGAAAATACCAAAAAAAAAAAAAAAAAAAAAGCCGGGTGTGGTAGTGCATGCCTGTAGTCCTAGCTACTCCAGAGGCTGAGGCAGGAGAATTGTTTGAACCCAGGAGGTGGAGGTTGCAGTGAGCTGAGATCATGCCACTGCACTCCAGCCTGGGCAACAGAGCAAGACTCCGTCTCAAAAACAGGAAGCAGCAGCTATGGATAATTTCTTCCGTCAAAACATCAGGTATCCTCTCAAAATATTTATTAACTATAAAAGGTGAAACAGTACAGTGAAAAAACTTGGCTGAAATCACCTTAATCAAGTGACCAGGGTAAACATCAGTAGTCGTTAGTAACTCCTGACATGGATATTCTTCCCCAAAATCCTACACATCAGTATGCTCATGGGAAAATATAGGTCAAACCCAAATGGAGGATGTTCTAGAAAGTACCTGATCACATACCAGATACGGTCAGAAGTGTCAAGGTCCTGAAAGCCAAAAGAGACTGAGGATCTCTCACAGATCTTAGGCAATGGAGATACAACAACTGCAAGGTAATACCAATGATATTTTCTTAGTTTTGATGTTAACATTAGGAAAGCTGGGTAAAGGGTATATAGGAAAAAAAAATTAAAACACGCTCGCACACCAGAGGCATTTTGAGTTTAAGTAGGAAGCAAATGCTCTTTGGAAAATCAGTCCAGAAAAAAGACAAATGATGTATTTCCAGGACTCATCCCTCCCACAGCTAGAGAGTCATGCCTCCATTATGGTGCTAGTTTCCTTGTATTCTAATTAGTACTTTACATATATCTTCCCATTAGACAGTAAAATCCTGCAGCGAAAGAACATTGTTATTCATCTTTGTATTTCCAGCACTTTGCCTAATCCTTAAGAAGTAATAGGGTTCAGTGGGCAATTAATTCTTTTTAAAAATTCCATTCAGAGAAGAAAAACTATTCTGTTTGAATCACCAGTTGTTTTTATTCCCTCTGTTTCCTTTAAGATCTTTCTCACTTAATCCCTTAAAATCTGTGTTGTCTATAAGCAGAACTTCCCTAACCTATGGTATCCGATAAGGCTTAGCTAACTTCAGTCAATATCCAGATTGGTCATGTGGGTCTCTCCTTCACACTAAACTGATAGCCTGATATATATCACAACCAGGATACGAAGTTACAACAGTTAACACCAACTTGTTTTGCTTCAGAGATAGTTTGGATTCCAATTTCGTATGCAGGAATGTACTGATTGGAACTTCCTGATTTATTGGGGCTCAGGGACAGATGTATTTCTCTTCAGTAAATAAAACCATTTACTTATAAGTAACAGTTTCCTTATGAACCAAGAAATTTATATCAAATTATTGAGCACAGAGTATTAGCAAATTTTACATCCATGAAATGCAGTCATTCCCTAGATTATAAACACCTAATTTAGAAACATTTGGAAATGTCCTACACTGTCCACATTGTCCTACACTGTCCACATTGTCCTACACTGAAACTACTGTTTTGTAACTGATGTGGGAATTGTAGAAAAAAATAGTTATCCTTATCTCACAGAATAGCTGCAAGGACCAGTGAGATAATAGTTGTAAGTAGGTTATAACTAATGTTGGGCTGGGGTTATCACTCTTTTCTAGTTAAATCTGTTTTTTCCTTAGAGATTAATTTTTTATATTGAAATTTTAAACCATTTCCTTTTTCTATTTTTTGCTTATAACAACCAGGATAATGATACTTACCTCACTGGATTATGTTGATAATTAATGGAATAACATTCAAATTCCTAATATTTTCTTGGTACAGAATATGTGATTAATAAACAGGTGATAAGCACAGTGGCAGCACTCTGCACTGTGGGTGATGAGTGAATTTACATACATTGTTTCCAGTGCTGTTCCCAACACTGCCAGGTAAACATTGTTTCCATTGCTCTTAAGCAACCTACCACTTTACTATAGAAGACAACTTGGAGGTTTTTAAATGATTTGCCCAAACAACACAGCAGTAATGAAGTAATGCAGTCCCATTAGGTACTTTCTTTAACATTACAATATAGTGAAAGTTTACATCACAAACTATTTTTTCCAGGCCTTTTTCAAGCAAAGCTCTGATAACCTCAGGCATCGTGTTTTTTAAAGGCTTCTGTGGATCTGAAATTAAAACAATTCCTTGGCAACCTTAGATGGATTGTTTTAAGTACAATCCTGTCATTTGGAAATTGTTCCAAATTCTAAAGCAATTACTTTTCAGTAAGATTTTTAGCTGGACCTTATTTTTAAGTTGGAAGCTGTCTGGGTCATGCTAAAGTTGTACAGAAATTCTAAATTCTGTTCTACTGGAAAGTATCTTACTTTTTAAAAAGATTATATTACTAACCTGTTTCCAAGACTTGTCATTTTAACTTCTCTTTTAACACGATTTATTTCCCCTGCTCTTCTGCCATTTTTAATCACCACTATCAGGATTTTTTTTCCCAGATAATAGCAACTTTAGTAAAATATCCAATGAAGCTTGTTTACTGAATAGAAAAATCATCTTTTTGCTTAGAGTAGTACATGTGGTTTGAACAAGTTCAGAAATCAAGCAACTGAAGACAGCTTCTTAGCTAAGAAC